GTCTACACTGAGAACACCCAGGGTCCACACACTGGAGCGTCTACACTGAGGACACTCAGGGTCCACACACTGGAGCGTCTACACTGAGAACACTCAGGGCAGAGTGGCACTGAGAACCATCTCCACCACTCACTTTCTCCTTTTCAGACAGTGTCACTAGGTGCCCAAGCCGGCCCCCACCTCCCTGTGGAGCTCTCCCAGGCCTTGGCCTTGCCTGGACTGTAAACCACAGGCCTCTCTGAGTGACTGACGCAAAGGAGAGAACGACGGTCAGTGCTTATAACCACAGCAAACATGACACCGCACCCCTCAGCACCACAGCAACATAAGCAAGCTACAGAGACCCTCCGTCTTTGAGGGTGTTCATACGCACACCAGGGCTTCTCAAGTAAATTTCTGTCAGCTTCCCTACGGAAGGGTCAATTTTGAAAGAATCTGCTAATATTTTTGTTGCTAAAGAAATTCCAGATAAAACTGGGTTCTGTCAACTCAACTCGTTCAAGGAAAAGGATGAGTAATATATTCCTCTACTCCTTAAACTATGTTCAAGTGTCCCCTTCACAAAGGCTTCTGTGGAAGCATCTCCTGCTGAAGAGGCCTTTGCTCACATGCTCTTTGCTCCATGCTGGAAGGCCACGGAAGAACCCAAGGAGACTAAGAAGTAGGGTTGGAATCGGGCAGCTTGTCAAGGGAGGCTTTGAGGTCTGGCAAAAAGATGGCTTCCTTCATTCGTAGTACAACCAGCACTCCTTCCCCTCCTAGATACCCTCCACAACAAACAATGTTATCAGCAATAGCATTTTTGCTAACTACACATGGCTGTTCACAAAACCAAAACAACAAAAAGGGAGCTACCCAAGAAAAGCAAAGCTCATCTAGTGTTAAGTCTCTATGGTATGATTTACCAAAAAAGCAAGTGAGTGTCAAGACTATTTAGACATTACTTCGATGATCCCGACCATGTAACTGGCTAACCGAACAGCCTTTGACTGTATGCTGGTGAGTATCCTTGGAATTTTGACCGTTCCCTGGAGTAGCAACAGGCAGAACACTTAGTGTAGCTCCCAAGCGGCAAGATGGGATGAAGAATTCAATAAATTACACCAGATACAACACTGCGTTTGAGGTCTGCCTAGGCTACATAGTGAGACAAATAAAACAAGAAACAAGAAAAAAGTCTGAGGTGAAAAGTCAATCAACCTATTAGCTTCTAAACCCTAAAACTGCTTATTTTTGATACAATTGTGTAGAGTGCTGTGACATATTTTTGAAATGTTAATAAACCATATGCATATAATGGGCATATACATATGTTCATTATGAAACAATGATATAAAAATAATAAACAGAAAATGTGGTAAGTAATAAAATCTGTAACACAATTTGACTGTAGGATGATAAAGGAGAAATATTCCGTAAGTTATTTTCATGACTTGAAACTGGTATCTATAAAGCTAGTGTAAATGTACAGAGATACTTTGCATTCTGATCTGGGAAGCTCCAGAATTTTTAGAGTTAGGACAGTAAAGCAGAAGAAGGTTGCTGTTAAGAAGACAAGACACTTTTATGCTGGAGGGGCCACCCACCAAGTAACACACTGATGCTTCACCTGACTGAAAGAAAACCACACCTTGCTTCTGAATGGCCAACTGGAAGGCTTGCGCATACAGGAAAAGGGCGAACTGGAGAGCCATCATGGTCATATCAGAAAGACAAAGAGCCCATGCATGGCTTACATGGTAAATGTAGATTAAAACACGCGCGCACACCCCAGAGTAGAATGAGGGCAAAAGGAAGGGGAAGGAAGGCTAAGTATGAGACATAACTCAAGACAGAAGCTAAATCTGAATACATAAAACCACAATTTGTGGTTTAAAACACTATACAGGGATAGAGGCCAATCCCTAGTACCACACACACAAAAGCACAGGTAAAAATGCTATGCAGGGCTGGTGAGGGGCTCAGCAGACATGAACATTTGCCAAGCACACTGATGACCTGAATTTTGATACCGAGATCCCATGACAGGAGGAGAATGGATTCCTGAAAACTGACCTAGAAACCTCCATACATATACTGAGCACCAGCATTCATGAACACACATCATACATACACATAATAATAAAATACCAAAACAACAACAAAGGCTGGAGAGATGGCTCAGCAGTTAAGAGCACTGGCTATTGATCCAGATGGCATGGGTTCAATTCCCAGCACCCACATGATGGCTCACAACTGTCTGTAACTCTATCTAGTTCCAGGAGATCCGATGCTCTCTTCTGACCCCCACAAAGCACCCAC